AGAGAGAGAGAGAGAGAGAGAGAGAGAGAGAGAGAGACTAAAAATACAATTATTAAAACCTTAACAATTTCCTCCTAAAGAGATACCGTAGTTTTGCGCAACTGTTTACATGTAATATTATGTGAAATCCAGTTATAATGTCAATTTTGAGAATCAGTTTAATGTTACCTAGATAGTTTTACACGGTGTAAATTACACCCCTTTACTGGATTTGACACAGTATTACACGTAAACATTAGCGGATAACTACGGCAATACATCTTTGCTGACAACAATCAATAGATGAATAGTAATAATTGTAATGCAAATGCAGGCAAAATGAATGGTAATAATGATAGCTCTGAAGTCATACGCAATAGATCTTATTGTTTTTGATGAGACAAGTGATGGCTGTAGTGCCGGCCAACTCGTCGCGCATCTGGTCGTCGTTAAGCATATCCGCGTCCAACTCGAGGAATGACTGACGGATGGACTCATCGATCAATCCCTTCGCGAACAGCGGATGAGTGCATATCTTTCGGTGCAAGTGTTTGGCCGCATATTCAGCCACTTTAGCGCCTCCGTGACCGTCGTATACGGCGAAGAACGAGCTGTTCCTGTCGTCCGGACACTGCAGGATGTGTGTGTGCGCGTCCTCCATGTCTGGGGGGGAGACAATCGAGACAATGGACACCACAGGTGTGTGTGTCATGACATGTGTGACAATCAAGTGGTGGTGAAGTACTCACTGATACGCCAGCCCTGCATACAGGAGGCGCCGACCACATAGTCTTCGTTCGCACAACTGGTCGTCTCTTTGGCGGTCACCGGTTCTGACAGCGTCTGACCCATTGTCCCGACACTACACTTACGTTATAGCGGGACCTCCTCTTCGGCTGATGTCCGGGTATTTCGAGCGGACAATCGGTTGTTCACTGTCTGCGAGCGTAAAACATGTGATCCAAACGACAATTGACTCAATCGATTGCAATTCAAGCGTAAAAACCACACAAAACACACGCTTTATAAGGATTTCACACTAAAACTGATTTCAATTGTAATTTTTAAGCAATGTTTTCAATATTATTACAGTATTTTGTTTGAGTTGTGGCCAAACATTACATTACAATCCCATTCACACAATTGAATCGCGCATTCGTTTCGCTCATTAAAAACCTATACTTCAATGCAATACTCAATCGACTGCTCAATGAAAGCGTTGCAAAGCCTATGGTATTAAAGACGACAATATTTTTAGTGTTTGTTTTCATTCGCCTTTCGATAAGTATTCAACAGATGGCCACACCCTCTATGCGCGCCATTCACACACAACGTTACGCTCGTATATACCGTACGCTATTTGTGGGTCATTAACAAACCCTCTCAACCTAAACGTTACGTAAAGTTAGTTACGTGACCGGCATTTGGGGGGCGATTATCGCGATTACTGTATAGTTGTATGGTTTGTATATTGTATGGTATAATAAGGATAATATTTAAAGTAAATACACGTTTAAATTGTTGTTAATTGTGGTTAAATTGAGGTGAAAATCGTGAGGCGATGGCTAATCGGATCAAAATGACTCCCATTAGGTTTGGGCTAACAATGGCGGCCTTCGTGGGCGCCGTCGGAGCGGCCATGTATTCAGTGTTCATATATCCCGTACAACACGTCGATTATTACAGTAATTTAGTAATTGTTGTGTAAATTGATTGCTAATTGTTGTGCTTTTTGTCCGCAGAGGAGAGACAATCGCTGAACAGGAAGGGTATCAAACAGGAGGACATACAGCCGGGAGGGATGCGGGTTTGGTCCGACCCTTTCGACCGCAAATCATCGTAAATCACGCCATAAAATAGACATGCAACTAAATTTCCCTTTTCCCTCTTCCCTGCAGGGATTCCCTTTTCCCTTAAGGGAAAAAGAGGGAAAGGGAATGGAAAATGAGTGAAGAGGGAAGGGAAGGGAATCCCTTATACACAA